CACCTTTCCTACAAAGTAGTTTTGTGGAATGGCATGCCAGAGGAATTTTCCCTATGTTATCACTTGTAGATTCAGTAAGTATAGCCTCTTGTGTGCTCAATGATCTTGCTAAACCAAGAAATCTCAATAGGCAAAACTCTCTTTTTCTTCTCTTTCTATTTAAGCAATTACTTTTCTTTCAGTCATCATGTTGAGTTGCAGTGACCTTTCTCTTTTTCCTTAGGATATGTTTTCTTGTGCAGTCTGCTATGTTATAGGTAGAATCAACACTGTATGTTTTGATTCATGATGTGCCCTGTGCTTTTAAAACAAAGTAGTCCTTCAGAGAAATATATACAAGAATAAGTCTTCTCATTTTATGAAGTGCTTCATTAAGCCTCTGGGTGTGGTAAAAAGTATTAACTTACAAATAAAAAGTGTTCACAAAATTTGGACGTGAATTTTCCGAAAGGTTGGGAATATTCAGATTTGGGTTTTGAGTTAAATACATACATTTTATGGATTATTTTTATATAAAGAGCAATAGTTCTAATTACCAAAGAAAAGACTAGGGTCCTCTTACCGGACCATGGTAGGCGTATGCATCACTCCCCACTGTATAAGTTTCTGCTGAGATGGGAGGAAGAACTAATTTCCTTTCTTTGAAAATATCTATTTGTGGGAACTGAGGCTTTGGATACCTGCTATACCACACCCAGGCCTTCCAGGAATACTTTTGCTGTATTTAGGAGTGATTTTTGTTCTCTGGGAAGTGTCCTTGATAACTTCATGAAAGAGTATGGTCCAGTATTCCTGAGAGAATTGCACCTCAAATTTGCCTTCTCTGCTAAATCCCCAAACTAAAATTCTCAGTACTTTGTTTTTTTCAGTGTTGCAGCTAGAAGCAGCTTTATCCCACCAAGCAAGAGAAAGCTGTAGTTACAGCAAGTTGGGTCTTATTTTCATTTTCTTTTCCTTTCTTGGTCCCCAGCATGTTCTCACCCGATTTTCCACTTACTGACATGTTATTCTGCCTCCTGCTTTTGTTTTTCAGGGTTCTCATGGAGTGAGAAAACCAAAGGAACCGCAAGGTGTGTCTGTCTTCTCTAGGGTTTGTGTGGCCCAGCCCAATGAAATGTCCCTCAGAAGTTCCAGGAGTACACGTGAGCTGTTCCTGGTTTTTCACACGTCAGGTTGGCCAGCACTGTTTCTTTCTTCCTGCTTATACTGCTGATTTTGTATGAATGAAGAAAATGTACACTGAACATCCAGATCAGATTATTTATCACTCTGATTTATTCCCTGATGTTTTGCTATCAGTATGTATTGAATAAAACTAGCAAAATGACTTGGCAGCTGGTCTTCCTTTGGAAGCATTATCAATACATATACTTTCAAATAATAGCCATAGCCATGCAATATTCCTTAATAGAAGCATGTCATACTGACATTTGGTTTCAGCCACTTCGGACAGACTCCTGGTACATAAAGAGGAAAACTCCTTGCTAAGCATTACTCTGCACTGAGAAAGAACCTCACACAAGTCTATAATATAGAATCAATCATTCATGTTAAATGGATTTATTCCTAAAGGATTCATTTTTTTTCTTAATGGGATAAAACTTTCCTTGCAGCATTTCCAAGTTGTGGTATGAGGCTGTCCCTATGTGCTACACTGACCCGAGAGACTTTCTTACACTAGCATTTATGTCACAGTAGGGACTAGGAATTCCATCCAAGGTCAAGTTTCTGTTGTACTAGACACACAGCAAACCTTGTAAACTTTTCAGGACAGTCACTATCTTTCACTTTCTGGATAGACAAAACAGACAATGAGAGCGGGCAAAAAGAAACACAGAGAGGGAAGTGACTTGCATGAAATCAGTGACAGATCCCAGAGTAGGACAAATGTCTTCTGACTCTGTCTAACACCCAGTCCATCTGGTAAAATGGCTGCCAGCATTGTCCAAGCTGATACATGTGACAGACTAAGAAGCATGAAGGTCCCATCTGCTTATGAAGAGCTGAATATGCATCTAGGGACAGGGATGAAACAAAACTGAATGCCTCCAAACTTCTCAACTCAGCCATTTTGATCTCTGGACCAGGCCACACCAAGAGCCTGATTCTCTGATCCAGACTTTGGGTCCCACTTTTGTAGTTGACTCCTAAGTACAGCCATATACACTCTAAGCCCCTTTGTATATGACAGGTATAGAGCATGGGGCTTGCTCTGTTTTGGTCTCCTACTCCACAATTTGGATTGCTAAAACTGGTAGATTTTTCATTGGTGGAGTGAAGTGAGACCTACCCACCACTTATCTTGATGGTCGTTGCTTGTTTAGAACACAATATCTCTGGAACATCACATTCAATCAGTATCACAATTTCAAGGAATGTTTTAGGGATCAATGGGCAGCCCTATGGATTTGGGGAAGGAAGACAGAAAAGGGGAAAAGGGAAATGCAGAGCCCATGGCATTTGCTTAGCATACTCAAAACTGCAGTCAGATCTGCAATGGTCTATAGAGCAAAGACACAGCAGTTAACATGGTCCAGCATGACTTCATCCTTCATCTCCATTTGGCCCATCCAGTTGATGGAATTTAGCGTTGACCTCTTCAAATGAGCTGCTTCACAGACAGGCAGAAATAAAAGCAGCTCCTGATAAGTGTATCTATTATTTATGTGAAATCTGCTGTCTGAGAGGTTTTGCCCATTCTGGTCTAAGGCGAGATTGAATTTTATTAGTAGATGTTAACAGTTATGAACCAAAAAGATGACAAAGCCAGTAGGGAAATAAAGAGCACTTGAGCAAGGGACTAACATAAGAGGGGAACGCAACTAGGTTACAGAAAATACAATGTTAGCCAACCAAGCAGAGAGCTCCCCCACTCCACTCCCCGCCCGCACTCCCTCTGCGCCTCCCCAGCGCCCTGCCTGCACTCGGGGGCTGTGTGGAAGAAGCACGCTGATCCTCTGTGCTGTGGGGGAAGGGGAGGGAGAGGGTTTGCAACGCTAAGAGAGAAAGAAGATAGATAAACACAAACCTGTACAATGGTCCACAATGATGGAGAGAGTTGGTTGGACAACGTTTCTTAGTCCATATAGAGTCTCATCATGGGGGTCCTCTTTGGGTGGAGCGGGGTGGTTTGTTGTTGAAGATTCCTCTCGAAGTCCATCAGGTGCAGAGGGGGGTTCAGGTGGTCCCCTCTGGGTCTGGTCCAGTGGTGGTTGGTCTGGCAGGGTCGGTGTCTTGGCGGTGGCCTGTGATGTGCTCTACGTAGATGTCACAGGACCCGCAGATCGTGTTGCACACCACGAGGCAGCACATCAGCTTGGCGTAGTGGTGGGAGACGCTGCAGGCATGTAGGACGCTCTCGTTGCTGCGGCCCCAGGCTCCAAGCGGTCCCACGACGGGCGCGCTCTGCCAGCTTCAGGCTCCACTGCTCTGTTCTCAGCCAAGTAGCAGTCTTATTTCCCAGCACCTTGTCAGATGTGTCTCATGTCGGTATCGCCCCTCCTTGTGCCCCTTGTCCATAAGCACTAACATCTGTGTCTAATTAGGAGTTTTGAAACGTGGGCAAGATAAAAGAGGAGCAACTGCTTGCAAGGGAAATGGGGAAGACCTTCACTGTGTGAATGAGAAGTGAGCTTCCTGCCTCCAAGTTCCTTTCAAAGTATGACCAATGCTTAGACCAAAACTGAGTAAAACTGGCCTGAGGTCACCAATCCACTTGACACAATGAATGCTCTGAGCGAAGTCCAAGGGTGGCAATCTTTGATCACTATCCACTTGGCATGGATTTCAATATATAGTGAAATCTTGGTCTCATTGAATTTAAGAGCAAAATTCCCACCGATTTCAGTGATATCTGGATTTCACCCTCAGGGATGGGAATCTCAAGAGGCTGCTGCTGTGAGTCCTGGGGCTGATCAGGACTGTCAGGATGGTGATGGGGGTGGAGTGGCAGTGCTGCACGGTTACCTGATAAGCAGTGGGAGGCTGTGGGCACAGAGGTCACCTCCCGAAGGTATGAGCAGGGCACCCGCTGCCCAGGGCCTCCTGAGTGTTGACAGGCTGTTTCAGGGTGGGAGTTTGGATTGCACCACAAGGTAACTGGACCCAATGTTTTTGGACAGGTTCCTAGACTGCCCTCACTGTACCAGCCCATGCCCACTGCCCAGCTGGTCCTCTGTGCAGTGGGAAGCTGGACCGTTTCTGACACCCTTTTTGCCAGTCAGAAGCTGCCCCACTTCAAGCCGAGGCAGCTGGGGTGCAGGAGGAGGTGCGGATCCGTACTAGGGAAGGCTTGGGACTTGCTGTTCAGCGGGGGTTGGCACCTGTATGGGCTCCACTTTTCAACCGGGGTCCCACTGTGCGGTTTGCTGGGCAGAACAAAGAGGCCGCCCTTGGTCCCCGCTCCTTGGGGAGCGCCCGACGCCGCCCCGCGCAGGCGGGGCCCTGGGGCGCGTCCCGGC